AAAAAAAAAAAAAAAAAAAAAAAAAAAAAAAAAGAAAACAACCAATGAGTAAATTACTAAACAAAAAAACCAGAGAGTAGAAACCATAAGATCAAATCATGCAGGACTTGGGAAGCACCAAGTAGATAATAAAAAAAGAATTACTTGCGGAATGGCCATCCCAAATTTGGGTCGAGCCAGTGGTGATCGCCGACATGGGTCCACTCCTTGCTGAAGCCAGGGCAGCAGAAAGCCAGCGCACGCATGCTGTTGTAGATAATGATGGCCCGACAATTTGGTGTGTCCGGGGAGCACGAGAGTATGAGCTTGTGTATCATGGGGGGGCCAGGCGGGAATTCGGGCAGGTCGCGAACCGGAGGGAGTTTTATGTGGCGACGGGATATTGGATTATAGAGAAACAGATCGAAGCTGGGGCTCAACAATGCGAGCCAGCCGCGTGAAGATCCCGCGAAACACATGTCCAGGTGCGTTAATTCTCTTTCATGGCGGCAACTTTTTCCTGTATCGAGGGATACGATTTTATTGTCGGCGGGGTTGTAGAACTTGTAGCTAAAGCTGGCGGCGCCGGTGACGGTGACGTCAAAGGCTGGAGGCAGCATAAGCCAAGGAGATGACGATGGGTTTTGTCTCGTTGAAGACGAGAACATCGGCTCGGCCAACGTGCGAAAAGAACAAGATCCAGTCAACCGTACAATCGGATAATTAGATAATCCGGCAAACCATTTCCGACCAATCGAACGGGTGATTGAGAAAAAAGAAGCCATCGATAGATGAACTCCGGAAGTCGAATGAAGGAGGCACAAAAAGAGGCACAACCTAAGCTTATCGCTCTATTTTATGATCGCCTCTTCATTAACAAAATAAACATCTAATTCTATTTATTTATTTTAACAATACAGTTTCTTAGTCGTTATTACTTTTCACAATGAATTTGATTCTAAAAATTGTATAAAATGTGAATTGTGCACAAAAAATATAAATAAATTAGTACCTACAATTAAAAAAAAAACTAAATTATTATTAATAAATTATTAGATGGGTGGTAAAACTATTCAATGTCTGTCACTCCAGAAAACAAAGTTGTTCATTTTATATTTTATTTATTTGTTTTCTAAATGTTGATTTATTTATTTTAGAGAGAAACGAATTGTATCATGGTTTTTTTATAGAGACTGAACAACTGGATAATTTACATAAATAACTATTTATAATTTCCACCAAAAAAACCTTGAAGCAACAACATCTATATCGTACTCATAAAAATCAACACAACATCATAACATGAATAAAAAAAACCCACCAAATCACATTATCACGACTTCTTGCACTAATTATAGCATTGTGAAAATACTTTGCCGTATTCCTGATAGCAACAGCATCTGAAAACAAGTCATGGAGTTTCACAAACTAATCAAACTGGAATAACAAATTGGAATTTGTTACGAAAACTGTTCATTTACACCCTAAAGTGTCATTTTTACGAGAGAAGCAAAAACCTAGCATAGAAGCAAAGCTTCACCGAGAAAATACGAAAACCTTGCTAACCACTATCGACATTTTATAAACCGACTAATATATATAATCCATGCTTTCTCCAAAAACCACACATTTGTTCAGCTATTGCAAGTTACATCCATCTGTGCAGAAATTAATGAAACAAAAACTGTTTTAAGGAATGAATAAACCATCTCATACACCAACTAAACGTGAGGCAACCCCCCAGCTTAAAAAACTCATTAAGGATTGAAGAACAGAAAAGGATTAAGTAGATGATGTGAACAGTAATTAAAACCTAAATCAAAATTGGACCCCACAAAGCTCCGAAACTCCCAACCTTTTTCAAGTTAAAGACGAATTCTGGTTCGAAATCGGACGTCGACTACCCCTCCCTCTGCCTTGATGATGATAACCACCTTCTCCACTATTAAAGTTGCCACGACCCCTGAAGTCTCCATTTCTACCATAAACCCGAGCAGTGCTGAAGTTTCCTCGGCCTCTGAAGTTTTCGTTACGAAACCCTCCGCGTTGAGGAAGAAACCGACCCCTCCCACCGCCAACTGTAGAGAAAAAATGATCGACACGTCATAAAACAAATGAATGTTCGAGATACAAGTTTTACAAGTGCATGTATGTATAATGTTCTTGGTGATATTCAAGTTTTCTGTGTTTTCATAACAATGAAATCTGGAAAAAGAAAAACGATGAGAAGTTGACGCTAGTGCCTCACCTCGAGTGGTGGTTCTCTTGATCTCGACAGTAGCTTGACGATCTAAAATAGTTATAGGAGAAGCCTGAAGAGAACCAAAAAAAAAAATAAAAAATTGGTGAACTGTTAACACAACCCAGTACAACATTGTACATGCTACATTAATTAGAAAATCCACTCCGCAGCACTTTGTTGTACTGCTTTTATCAGGCTGATTAGAAAACAGTGGTCAGGCATAAGCGAAATCTTGAAATGACAGATTCATACTGAACTCGGATATATGTTACCAAAAAACAAAGTTTCCATTTCTGATGAGGAAAAAGGCCAAACCCAATCACATGGCAATTTAGTTCTATTGCACCACAAGTGTCTAAAGGATCTAACTGCTAAAAAATGAGGAATGTTTGAAGTGTAAGTTCGAGGAGGTAACTAAATATATTTGACTACAAAAGAAACAATGATAATAAACAAAAGGGAAAAAGCAGAATCTAAAGATCTCAAACCTTAATGGCATTTTGCATGGCGCTAAGCTCCAGGAACTCAACAAACCCGAAACAGAATCTTTGTTCCTGAAAAGCAAAGGAGGTTGTTGTGTAAGTATCAACAGGCAATCAGCAAATTGAACATCATACTAAACAAGTTGTGCTTAAAACCAACCCAGTTACTTCTGACTTGGACCCCATTTGGCTTAATAGTTCCAAATTTCTGAAATTCAGATTCAAGCTGTGCAACTGTAAAATTTAGAGGCAAATTGCGGATGTATATCGAGTGACCCTGAACTGTATGAAATAGGCAAAAATGAAAAATAATCAGAACAGAAGAGTAGGTCAAGAACGAAAAGAATTTGCAGATATTCACCTATCATCACATCTTGTCAAAGTCTTTGCTGCTTCATTATTTTTTTACTTTTTTTCTAAAGCATTCTTTTTCCTTATCATAAATATAGAAGTTTGTGGTGCTTGACCATACACGTAAGGGCAAGGCAAATAACTGTTAGACAAAATACCTTCATCCTGAACATCTTTACTTTCTGGTACATCATCAGGTACAACATGAGAAGTTAATTCTGGAAGTGATTCCCCTGCAGCTGGGTTGAGTGGCTGCTTCTCGGCTTTCGCCTGAGCTAATTTAGCTGTGTTAGTAGGAACATAAATTTTGGTTGGACCCTTTTTTGTCGCTGAGCTAACAATTGAAGCATACGACTTCTTTGGAGTATCCTCCTGCGATGAAGAAGTAACTGCATCTGCAACTTCAGTTACATGATTCTCATTAATATGGGAGTCGGCTTCTATCAAGACATCCGTATGATTATCACCGAGTTGTCTGTCTTCAATCACTTCGTCACTGATTTTCTCCTCAATTATGTCAGCTTCCTCCACTTGAGAAGTTTCATGATTAGCTTTTGGAGAATCAGCCACTTGAATGGGTTCTGAAAATAGAAGCAAAGAAATAAATGAATAATCCTCAAAACCATAGGCGTTGGGCGAAAAAACAATGACAAGACGTACCCGGATCTTGGATAGCAGAACCAGATGGTGTTACATCGACTCCAGTAACTACCGACATGCTGAATTCTGGTTCTCTCTCTTCTACATAACGAAAAATGTCGTTTAACACGTAATACCCTTTGTCCTGAGGAGCGAGGAAAAAAGTCTGTGAGAATTTCTTTTTCAGGTTGTCGGGTCCGGTCAAGCAGCCAGTTACTTGCACCACCACTCCATCTTTATAAGAATCTTGTGCATCCGCGGTCTTGATCTCAGCCTTGTAATTTTTGTAATCCAATGAACATATTGTGTCGTTTATACTCTGGTAGAATAAGAAAACAGAGATATTTAATGTTACCACTTGTTGCATAAGGATAAAAACTAGAACCTGGAATATATTAATGCACCTGCCTAAACCACAAAAAATGCAAGAGCAAGTGAAAAATGAGAGCAAACCAGGAGTTAACAATGAGCAATGCAAATAAATTTATAATAACTTTCCTTGCCAAGCGGAAAAATAAAGAAATAATATCGCCCTACAAATTTTCCCTGAGCCAAACATCTCTTATGGTGCAAATGAAAACACCCATACATATATACAATAATCAAAATATTCCTATTCATCAAGATTTTTGGACATAATCAGTTAGATAAATCATCTCTGTTCATTTCATCTGTGATACATTTAGATTTTACAGTCATCTTCCTTCAGGTACAAGTTTTAATCACATTTTAAACTTGCAGCAGTGAGCTATGTAAGCAATGAGATTAAATAAGAATCTGGAATCAATCTCTATGTTGACAGTTCAACTTAAAGTCATCTTCTATGTCCCAAGTCCAACAAGTTCAAGTAAATGAAACAGTTGAACAAGAGCTTCCCGGAACGACAAACTGCCAATGCAACTGTATGGTTAGCTATCTATCCAAGGTAGGGAGTGACACTTGTCCAGACAGATATCAGAGAGCCCCTTCATCATAATATCTATCCTACTGATAACATAAAATAACAAAACAAGAGCTCATTCCAGCTAATATACTTGAAGCCTTTATAGTACCAGCCAAATTAAACTACAGTACATCAATAAACTGAAGACATGCAGTATATCAGCAAATGAAGAACAGGTATACGATAAATTGAAAAGGAAACAAATCTGAGGAAAAGAAGAGCCATTAAGGTATGAAACGACACTCCACAAATTTCTAGTAAACTCACTTCCATAGTTGTCACAGTCTTCATGAGGCCATTAGGATCCGGGCGGCTCAACACACTCACATCCTGGTAAAATCGGTGAACCAACTCAGGAGAGTGGTGAAGGATATGATAATACTGCTCAACAAAAGCATTCCCAACAATTTGAGCACTTGGAGGCGGCTGAGGAGTCGCAGTTTCTGTAGCCATCCCTAGTAGAAGCCAATAAATCTAATGTCAGAAACAGAATCTCACTTAAACTCTTAGATATATACAAATTCAGAAAGCTAATATCTTAATCACCCTCTACAATAACCATAAACCCAACATCACGACCAATGCATCATCATTACCCATTGTTGATTACCGACTTAACGACTAAAATGGTAAATATTGTAGTATTTGACAAAATACCCATTTCCCTCAAAACCCTAATTTCATAATTTGTGCATAAAGACATTACGAATTTCCTCCCTAAATGGAACCCCCAAAATGCAGGAACACTCACACAAAACTCAAAACCTAATCAACGCAAATCCACCAGCTATCAATCAGCCGTTCGATCCCTCCCACCAGCAGATCGAACAAGGTGACATGAATCAAAGGAACAACACAGCAAAATTTGAATCGAAACAACAAAAATGCATGAATTGAAAGCCACTCATATTGCTCGACTCACACAATCACGTTTTTCCGGTCAATCCGGAGACGGACAAAGCTTACGTCACTGACGCCGTCGCCGCAAAAAGAACAAGAAAAGCAAATCTAGCAAGCATGGAGCTCAAGTGTATACCTGATATCTGCGACTTTACTTTGGAGATGACGAGATTGAGAAGGGGAGAGAGTGAGTGAGAGATCGATTGGGCGTGGATTTGTAGAGAGAGAAAGTGACCGGCGAGAGATTTTGCGAGTAAAGCTTCAGTATATAGAGTCCAGATGAGCTGAGTACTTACCTTTAATGATTTTGATTTTAGTTTATTTCAGTTTTAATTATTATCAACTAGTACGTAAACCCCCATGCGATGCACAGACGGTATTTATTTTGGTAAAATTTATAATTAAAGGCTAATATTAATCAATAAGTTATAATATCGTAGGTTATTTATCAAGTAATCAGAAAATGTTCATGAAAAAAATCATACATTGTTAAAATCCTTCTTGTTTTTCCATGCAAATATTTTTGCACTTGACAACTGTAGATCGATATTTATAGTAATTTCTAATTGCATAGACACCTCATTTCTCTAATTATTTGTTGATTTTCGAATTGTTAACACCACGAAATAAAATTATAATATAATAATATTATATAACTCTGACGATTCAATGAGAATAGGACTTGCACGATTAATTATTTGTGCTAACAATATTTATATTTAATTATTTATCATGTAAAATTTATAATTTTGTAAATTATTATGTAATATTTGTAAATATTACACGTAAATTTTTATAAATATAAATATTTCACGTACCCGTAAAGTAAAAATTATATTAGTAAAAGTTACAAATATATACGTGTGAAATATTTTTTCTAAACGTTTCCTAAATAAATATAAAGATTATTTTATGTGTAAATAAATATGAATATTTTACAGTAGCACCATTTACACATGTAATTTTTTACCCGTGAAATATATATTAATTACAATTTATGAATATGAAATTATATTTAATTATGTATTGACTTGTGATAATATGGATTTGTGATTATCTATTTTATTTTAACAGTTTCATTTTTAACATCGATCGGAAATGTGATTTTGGAAATTATTTTGTTTCATTATACAATATATTTAGTTTTTCAAATCATAATATGAATAGCAAGCAGTTTTCCAAATGATAAATATGAATAGCACACCATGTAAATCAAATTTTTAAAACAAAATTCGCTGTGACATAAAAAAAAAAGATCGGGTATCAGATTTTTTCCAAAATCAATTAATTAAAAATTCAATCTAGTTCTCGAAAATCATTTAAAAAATTTAACCAAAAATAATAGGTTAATCTCATTTTGAAATGTAATCAACGAATCTGCTAACCAATTTAGCTTAAATTTTTTTTTTTTGGAAGACTCCTTAATAAACGCAGAATATGCGGCCTTCAAAAGAGGAGATTTATATCCAACCACAATAATAGGAGATTTATTTAAATTTTGATTCCATATTTTTTATTGTATTCCTAAAAAAAAAATAAAAAAACGGATATGTTAATAAATAACGATTTTGTTAATTTACTATGTTTAGGCAATAATTAATGAAATTGGCGGAAAAGTATTTCTAAAAGTGAATTATGTTAATCCATATTATATATTAATAGATTATTTCCTTAATAAAACATAAAAACACTTAAAAAAAAACCACTAATAAACGAAAATGGAAAATAGTTAATATAATTTTATTTTTGAAAAATATTATCAGTTAATTCCTCTATAAAATATGAACCCACTTCCAAAAATTTAAATCATCACTACATAAAAGAAAATGACAAGTATATTATAATATGATTTTATCTGTGTCTTTTTAAAGAAAAATAACTTATGCTTTTGCCATGCACATTTTAATTTTTTTAGCCAACTTTCAATTGTTCACTTCACTAATAAGGGGCATGCAAGTCTCAAAACTCGTATTTAATCATGTGCACATCACAAATGTTTAAATTATTTTAGGTTATATTTATGTATATAATTTTAAGATTAAAAATTAGATAATAGCTTCGCATTTTTAAAATATTGTCATTAATAAAAATGAACATTATAAAAGTATCCAACTTCATCAATATATTGATTTCATAAAATCAAGGAAATAAATAGCTCGCTAAAGTTGCCGCTATTTGAGAAATAATTTTTTTTTTGCAGCGTGTCGCTATTTGTATTCATGTGCAATTTAACCGCTAAATCCCGTTAAATCTCCGCTATAGCTCCGCTATAGCTACAGTGCCATAAAACGTTTTAGCCCGCTATTTAAAACCTTGCATAAAATGAAATGAATTACATAATTTCTATAAATTTAAGAGATACTCACCTATTAATTATTATTACTTTTTGTGAAAATTTAAGAGGTTTGGTTATAACACTAAAGTCAGTTGGCTTATTAGAAACATGCTTAAGAGCGATAAAGAGTTTAAGAAAAAATTTCCCAGTTTTTTATTCTTATTAACTTCCATATATCATTTAGTGTGAATTATAATGGTTAGTTTAAGTAATAAATATTACTCCCTCCTATTCATTATAAATGTCGTTTTGACTTTTTTGGTTCATCCATTTTGTTATGTATCTAGACATATTAATGTATTTATATATTAATGTCTAGATACATAACAAAATGGATGAATAAAAAAAGTCAAAACGACATTTATAATGAACAGGATGGAGTACATAATACAATAATTAGAAACATGATTATATTTTAACTAGTATGTATCCCGTGCGATGCACGGATGAGCTCATATTTTACACCCTATTAACCCCTCTTTACACAGTATTTTTTATTTAAGTAATATTATTATACCTTAAATAATAGACATATACCACATATTGCACAAAATTTGGTATATAATATGGTTAAATCACTATTTAAACATAATTTATTATATTTTTTCTAGTGGTATCCTATATACGATATATATGTTCCTAATATTTCTCAACATATAAACTTAATTGTTGTATGCCGTCATTTTTTATCAACAAATGTTTATGTAGATCTATCATGTAGTTTTATTCAATGTCCAACATTTGTCAAATTATTGATCAAATTAGAAGATAAATCCAAATATTATCCAATTCAAGTAAATACCTCCCCTTTTTATAGTAATAGATTTAAAATATTTTTTGAATTCTATATTTCATTTTTTATATTTACGAAGGTAAAAGAATTTTGAAATTAAGATATACATTAAATAAAAATATATATATTAAATTATAATTAATAAAAAATAATTAAAAAAATATTTATAATAAGATATAAATTAATACTATTTAAATGGGCTTAATATCTAATAGCGTGGTGATATTAAAGAGGTTTGATATTATAAAGAACAATATTTATCTTAATCGGCCTAAATAACCCCGACCCATTACATTATCTTATACTAAGCCCATTAAAATTGGAATTTTATTAGCCCAAGACTGAATTTTCCATCAACCATAAAAGAAGATCCGACGGTTAATTTGAGGTTTAGTATAAAACCCAACCAAAGCAGAACTATCGTGCAAGAGCTTGATCTCCTAATTTCGCCGCAAACATTTTTTTTTTGGGCATTACTAATTACCGCCCCCCTTATTACTAGTCACCGCCCCCCTTGGACGATT